GGATCACTGACTTACACGTAAATAAGATTTTTTTCCTATATCCACTTGATTTCTGAACAGCTTTAACAGCTTTTAAGCCTGAACTCAAACTGATCATCATCAGTTAGATCAGCTCTTTAAATAAAACAAACCTTAAGCTAACCTTTCTCTCTGCTTACTTGTAGTAGGTTATAGTTGTCATCTGTTTGTTACCCCATTTGCACTTAAAAATCATTAAAATACTGATGCTCCAATGCAGAAGCAGTAGGAAATATTTCTGTATTAGGTAAGGCATTTTACACAGAGATTTATACAGAGAAGAGAAATGGAGGATTTTTTTCAATTTCTGTTTTCAAGAAGTGGAATTTCAAAAGCAGCTTCAAGTCTCAGGTCTCATTATTAATCATCAGTTAGTTTGCACTGTGCAAAAATTATTCCATCCAGTGGGCCTGAAATGACACAGTTAAAAAATAAAGGGAAAACCTGGTGCAGATTAATCAGCACCTGTTTAAGGAGCAAGTTGGATGCTTAGAGGGAAGGCAACAGATTTCCTAATACAATGATACAACTTCTAAAATAAGTGCCAAGTGAATTAAAGCTCAGAATATGTTCTTATGGTCAATGCTAGATCACTCCAAATCTGGTCCAAGAATAATGCAGTCCTGAGCTATCCCACAGCTTGCAAAAGGAAAGAACAGCAAGGTCTTCATAACTGACCCTTAACTCACACAACAGGAAAAATCTGCACCCTCTCACAAAGAATTTAAGCTTTTGCAGTACTTTTAGAGTGATGGCAGTTTATGGAGAGCACTGGCAGCCACCCAGAACAATTCTCCTTCTTACAAACCCTTGGCACCTGACCTCTGATCCAAGGGCAGCAGCTACTTTGGCATGCTGGAAAGGAAAATGCCCAGGAGTCAGCGTGTGCATAGGGATGACATGTAGGAACAAAGGTCAAACGGCCAGGGCAGACAAGTATTCCCTCTTCTGGATCAACCTCTCTGCTTAAAATACACTTTGAATAGGAAGAGAACTTCATCTGCAGCAGAGACAAATGTCAGCTGCTGAGAAGGCTCACTTGACTTTGAAGAAATCAAGCGTCTTGGCTCTGAGGAAGGCAAACAGATCCTAAGTCTCTTATAAAGCCCAGAAGAAGGGAAAAAAGTCTTACTTCCTTGATGAAAATGAAAATATGACTGGGGCCAATCTCCTGGAGCTGTGGATGGATAAAAGTGGAGCATTACAGTTTATAAAATGCTTTTGAAATCTGGTTTATTAGTGCAACCTCTTCTCTTGGCCGAGACACATGTCTTGTCTTGATATCTCCTGCTTAAAATCCTTTTAAACATCTTATTTTCCACCATAAAAAGGAATGGATATCGTGAGTTTATTTTGAAATTGAAATACTGTCATCGTGCCCTGTTCAGGAAAAAAACATATGTGGTAATAATGGAATGTGGCTGTATTCAACTGTCTGAAGCCAGGGCTAGAGGCAAATCTGATCAGATCGGCACAGCCAGAAATGTGACAAAATGTCACTAACATTAGGTGATTGCCCACTTTCACTGCTGATTTCTTTAACAGAACTTGAAATAAAAATGAAATTAAGAAGAATCCCACACCTCACAGCCCAAGTGGACTCTGTGTGTCCTTCCTGCCCTGGGTTCAGCAGCCAAGCCCAGGTGCTAGAGCTGGAGCTGGAGTGCAGCTCCAACAGCTCCAGGCTCCCAGGGCTGTGTGCCTGTCAGCTGCTCAAGGCACGTGGTGATTTCACCATGGATATTCCCAGCCCAGTGTGTTCTCTTGCTTTCAGCTCAGGGCAGTCTGGGACTTGAAGCCATCCTTGGCTCTCAAGATGATCTGCCCCAGAGGACCTTTGATTTACGGGGCAATCAGCACCTCCTTTTCAACATAGGGCTTTAGGGATATAGCCTGGAAATAGCTTGGCCCAGTTTGGTTTTTAGCCCCATGTTGAGTGCAAAGCTGTGCATGTGCACAGTCTGCAGGGAGCTCAGCCCCTTCTCCTTCTGGATGGAACAGCTTCCCTCCCCCTTAATCTCCCAGTTCGCCCTTGGGCCTTGGCAGCAATACCAACTTACAAATTCCAGTGACAGGATACTTCTGAGGAGAACAAACAAGTGAATGTTGGGATTTTAGAACCAAAGATGCCTGTTTTATTACTACAGGATTCTTGCAAAGAACACTCAGCTCCTAAGCTTTGCAGCAGGCTTTGGAGTCCACAATCCTATCTCTGTTGTCACCACCCATTTCCTCCAGGCAGACCTTTGTGACCATCACTGTATTTCTGGAAGTTCCTGACCTGGTAAGAAGCCTTCATCCAATCTCTGGTGCCAGCAGGACTTCCAAGGGAAGCTCATGCCTCTGGGGTACATTCCTTCTCCACACACACTGCTCTGGAATGCTAGATGGATGTCAGGACCTGCCTTCACAGGCCATTAGTGGGAGCTCTGGAAGAGCTCTGTATTCTCTCTGGAAAAGAACAGTGTCTAGGACTGAGGTGACCAACACATGATAGACAAAGCAGGAATGGAAAAGTGCCTTGTTCACTGCCCAGGCAGCCACAAAGATGAGCTTCACCTCCAAGGGACCCAGCTGAGCCAGCACAGAGCATGCTCAGCTGTTCCATGCCATGGGGCAGTCTCAGGGCTAGAGCCAGGACTGTGGGCACAGAAAGCAAGGAGATCACTTTGGCAAGAGGGAGAGGTCAGCAGCTTTGGTGTGTGCTCTGGCATTCAGGAGAAAAACCTACCCTGATTGCCCCAGCATTTTTTTGGAAGCCTCTGAAAAATTTCCCACCATGGTGGGAAAGCAGCAGCCGGACCAAGTCACTGCCCTTGTTCCCAGGTTGGTGGGAGCATAGCAGTGGGAGGGCAAGAGGACATCCAGATTGCCCCACCTGGCCATGGAGGCTTAAAGGCACTGGCAGCTAATGTCTGTCAGATCCCTGTGAGTCTTTGAAGAGCCCTTCTTCTGGATTTCCTGCCCAGAAGTAAAAGGAACTCCTGGCAACACAATCACATTGAGTTAGATGTTTCCTTCCCTCTCTGACTCTGTCCTCTGGATCAATGGTTTTGCATCTTGCAGGCTCTCTGCTCCTCACTGTCCTGGATTCTGACCCACTGCACCAAGATGTGCTGGTTTCTGTGTCTCAGTTGCCAAACACTCTTGTGCCTCTTGTGAAAGCAACTGACAATACCTGTGACCTCTCCTATGCTTCATTGGAGCAAGGAACAACTTCACCAAACCACAGCCTGGATCTCACCTTTTGTCATTATCTACAGCTCCAGCAGGACATGTTTTCAGCCCTAGCAACTCCTCCTGCAACTTTATATGTGCACAAAGACATGCCCCAGCTTTCATTTCCATTTTAAACTTTACATTAGGCAGTGAAGCTCTCTGCTTATATGGTTATCCCAGAAAAGACAACTTCTTCTCCTTTTTGTTCCTATCTCTGAGCAAGGAGATACCAAAGACCTTGACATGTAACACTTTTTTCCTCTTTAAACAGAGCTTGTCTTTGAATTTTGAAAAACTGCTTTTATTTCTTGTAACTAGAACATTTCTGTTCAGAGAAACACTGCTTGAAGCTACCCCCATACCCTCTCAAACAGTCTCTTGCAAATTCAGATCCCAATGAAATTCAGAAAATGACTCATTCTGGGTTTTGCTATTTATTTGCTGATGTCCTTCTTTACTTTTTCACACTGTTTTCCAAATACAATCCACTAAGAATTGTCTTGTTTTCCCTGTAGGTTCCACTCCAGTTCTGCACAGCAGGGTACAGAGCTTGGACCACTTTTCCAAGTTTGCAATTTTTCAAGTCACCACAAGGTCAGGATGACCTGTGAGACATTTTATTTCTCCCTTTGGGGCCTCTGACTTAAAGATCCCACAGACCTTTCAATATTCCTTGACCTTAGAAGTCTCAAAGCTCTCCCAAATGATACAAAGGAGATTCCTCAGGGTTTTTTTTCTAATTTTTCATTGTGTGTACAAAGGCAGCTTGTGGCACTACCTGCAGGGTCAGTGCTTCCACCAGGCATACGCATGAGAGGAGAGAAAGATGCTCTGTGATTGTCTGGAAAGGAGTCTTCTCTCCCAGGTAAGGAGGGCTGCAATATGATAAACAGAACTGAGGGACTTTTATACTCACCCCTTACTTATTTCAAAAGTGATGTGTATGCAGTCAATTTTAATATGCAGGTTTTCATTTTGATGCTATGTTTTCATACTGATGCTATGGGGAACAGCACATGTGGCCATGAGTATGACACGTTTGTTTTTAGACTCCCAAGTTCACAGAGAAAATCCTTCAGACGTGGCTCAGTTTTCAAGGACAGAAAACCCTCACCCACCTCACCAAGTGGCAAACAAATGGCACCTGCGTTCAACAACAGGCTCAGGGTGCAAGAGGCTGCCTGCAGCAGGTCAACAACACGCTCCTAGGTTTGCCACCTGGGACAGGCCAAGACATTACTCTGGATCGAAGCAATAGGCCTGGCTTCTTCCAGGAGTGAAAGAACTGGAGGAGAAATAAGAACTGCAAAGGAAAATAAGACTAGAGAAAATATCTGAATGAGAAGATCTCCAATAGGTAGGGGACTAAGGTATGGAAAGTATGAAAAGATGGGAAGCTTATTGCTCCTGTCACACCATCCCTGTTTAGACTGGGAGTGGAGAAGGAAAGAAAGGGCGTTCCCTTAAAAAATGTAATTGAGTGAGACATAAATCAAGAGTTAGTTCACTGGAGTAAATTAAGGTTGGCTGCTGTGAAGAGTGAGGAAGTGAAAACCTTTGGTTGGCTGCCCAAGGGAAGGGAGGAGAGGAGATAAGATATGAGGTAGGTGATGAAAGGGATGCAGAAGCACAGAAATGTGAACAGGTTAGTGCTGATAAAACATTGTGCTCTAGGTCCTACTTTTCCCATTCCAGTGGTTTGGAAGTGTGAGACAGAGCTGACAAAAGAGCCTGTAACAAAGAGACAGAGACACCAGAACCACTTTTCAGTTATAAGCTTTTTCTTTTTTAGAATTCAAGCTTACACAGTTATCTATGCCCACTATATTCATAATTACATTTTAATATCTGCATACAAAAGCTATGTAAAAATTATTTTCTTCCCCAAATATACAAATTTTCTCTTTAGATAGTTTAAAACATTTGTGATCACAGATTTTTTTTAATATATTTTAGGCTGAAAAAATATTACCAATCTAGCATAACTCTTAACACTGTTTGCAAAAAAATACATCATCCAAGGTACTTTGTTTTTTACTGTATGGTGTAATGTTTTCCTTACCCTCAGGGCATGAAACTGATATAAAAAAATAAACCAAATAAGTAAAACCCACAAACCTCATAGACAAAGTAGTAAGTCCTCCCAACTGACTTCATAAAAACAAATAAACAACCCAAACCACCCTCCTCTTTAAAAAAATTATGAATGACTAATTTGATGTATTTATGAGCAAACTGAAACGGCAGAGTGCTAAGGAAGTAGGAAAAGAGAAAAAGAAATTACAGTATGTCAGCTAGTTCATGCCCTGATACTATCTTTACCAACATTAAATGTGTAATTAAATAAAGTGTCTTTTAATGTTTTACATTGTGCTCAGTAATTTACATAAATTTAATCCACACCTGGGTGCTGATGTAGATTTACATTTGATTGTCTTGTGCATAAACAAGGTTAGCTTTTAAAGAAGGTAAACTGTGCAATGGACAGTCACAAACAACTTATTACCTGCACAATATTGCTTTTTGAAGGCGACATCAGTCAATGTGGATACACACAAATAATGCATACTCTTTGCGTTTGCTAACATCTATACTAAAACTTTGTGATAAGGCCAAACCTTTTTTTTTGTTTTGTTTTTAATTTTAAAGCAAAAATATACCATAGTAAAAAAAAAAAAGAACCAAAAACGTGCTTACACCGTTTTGAGTCTTTAAGTGGAAAATAAATCTCTATCACACTAGAATAAAATTCTCTCTATAAAATTTAAATACAGATCACTTCATTACTATATCAAAACGAAACCTCTGGCAATCATTTCCAGATGATCACAATAACAAGACACATTAAGAGGTTCTGTTGCCTCTTCCTTTGTGAAAAGAAAAATGTTGAACACTTTCATTTGCTCTCACAGTGAGAGGAAAACGTTCCTTGGTTGTGAATTTTGATTCTGTCAATGAAAAAGGTTTAGCCTTAGGAATGCTGGCTACATCTCAAAACCATAAGACTGATTTTTAAAATTTATGATTCATGCAGCAAGAAGTCAATATGACACATACAGATTAGAGTTCCATAGCATAAAAATACATCACTAGCAATGACATGCTCTGCTTGTGATTAACAGCCCTCTCTTGGCAGATTTCTGATATAAATGGTCTTTCTGGACAGTTTTTTCCTCTTTCTGATACCTGCCTCTGAAGAAGTAAGCAGTCTGCTCAAAGATGATTTTGGACCTGGGAGGTCTAACTATAAGGTCTACATTTTGGCAGAATGTAAACAAAAATCATTAGCACACACTATATATGTTATAATAAATATCACAACTTAACTGAGATTACACATGAAATGAGTATCTAAATGCACATGTTACTCAGGGCAATACCATGAATGGTGACAATCAGGTTTGACAAGGAAAAACCTTCTGTGTAAGACCCACATGTAGACCACAAAGCAAACACGAGAGCCATGTGGCACCAGCAGAAACAAGACTCTGGACTGCACTGGAGAGCACAAGTTTGTTATTTCACTCAGAAGGCCAGTTACTACAAAGGGTGCTGACTGTGGCACTGGCGTCTGCCACTGAGGTGGTCAGTCCAGGGGCACAATCCCACAATGGCTTGAGATCACTGATATTTAGAAGTACATCTTCGCAGAGCTAAGGTCAGTTAGTTTTGCCCTCAGGATCACATAAATCAGCAGTCACACTGAGGAAGTAAAGGAAGTGACACAAAGTAAGACTGGTAGGAGATCAGAGGCTATTAGATGTCAGTTCATCAAATCTGTCCAATGACAAGCTTGGCTTTAGTTTTTAGTTAGGGAATACTACTAACTCAGTCTGTTAATTAGTGCCAGACTCAAACTTAACTGGAATTAAGCTAGAAAAACATGTTGATGTATGTCCTTTCTGCTTAGAGCACTGCCAGAACTGTCTAAGTCAGTTGCCTGATTTTAGGCACTTCAGTCCATCTGCAATCACCTAAAGGAAGGAGGCCTGACTTTCTGAACCCTGACTTAGCACAGCTCCAAACTGCATTGGTATTTTGGAACAAGAAGAGATGTGATGCTTCCTCTCCTGGGTCTCACCTGCAGCACAGTCAAAAGCTTGAATGCCTACTCAAGCTCACATTAAGCAAACAGGTGCACTGGCTTCAGGAGGAATTCCATGCTCAGATCCATGGTAGAACAGGGCTTCAAAAGACACGCACATTCCTTTTTTCTTTGCAAGCCACTGTGGGCATAGGCACTGATGCCCAAGCCTTTCATGTATTTGTCATATATTTAAAGCTTTGTAGATTTCTGATACATGGCTGTAGCTCCCAGTACTTTTCCTACCCCTTTTCCCCTACATTTAAATCAATAAGATAACCTTCTAAGACATATTATGCTACATTCCTGAAATATTATTTAGTCTTGCCTCTTTAGCCAAGGATGTCTTATTTCCTTTTACCATGTATTCTAGACATAGTAAATACGGGGCTAGAAACGCAGGAGGGACACCAAATGGGCAAAAACAAAAGGGAGGATTACTTAACTAAATGCTCTTTTAATTGGACACTATTGCTAAATATGCTAATTTATTAAACTTATAAAATTGTGGAAGTTCTGTATCACATGTGCATTTTGCCATAGTTGCACCTGGAGGCCTCCAATTCTGCTTTTATATTCCTTGCTATATTAATATTGATGTGAATGTTGATTATGAATATTGAATATTGATAATGAATATTAATATCATCTTGAAAGTGTGTTGTTTTGTTCCTAGATTGTGAAGGCATCAGCTCAAGTAAAGGATCAGCTGCTTTTCTGAGTTCCCTATCACATGCTGTAAGTCCTCCACCAAGTCACCCCAACCACCTATCCAAAAAGCCAGTTTCTGACTCTTTGCTCCCAAGACAGCGCTCCACAAGGAACTTGGATAGAGATATTGTTTAGACACACACTTTGAGACGGAGCCAACACAGCCAACAAAAGAGGTTCTACACCAAATATTTAAGAATTAATCTCCAATGGTGTGTCTTCACTGCTACCTGCAGAAAAACTCCTACACATCCCAATGTGTTTCATGTTCTGACAAAAAAAACCCTAAGTGATAACACTAGTGCCTACAGCTCATCACAGGTGCATATGGTATCAAACAACAGAGAGAACAAGATTCCAAATTCCTAAAAATGTGCCCAATAGCACTTCAAATGCTTTATCTATGATGTAGGGAAAGAACGGTAGGAAGAGTTTAACTCCTCACACACATATATCGTGTTCCATCTATTAATTTTCCTGAGTACCCCGTTTTTATGAGGGGATAAGCACATAACATCTGGGATCAGATATGGGCCATGAGCTTTGAAAGTCAACACATCCACCCTAACAATGCCCACAACTTGCTGGGCAAATAGGTCAATAAATAGCAGAGAAAGGTGCAAATCCATGCACAACATGAAAGAACGTAGGGTATGAGGCAGTGCAAAAAACATGAACTAAATCTCTGGTTCCCAGGAAGAAGAGAAACATGTTTTAGAAGTGTCATACAAATTCAGAGGATGGTTTAATATCAAGTTTATAAAATCCAGGGACAACATCCCTGAATGGAGATGGTGATAGAGAGGAACCTCTACCTACAATGTCCTCATCACTGGCCTCCAAACATTCCAGGACTGTGTGTACTGGCTTGCAGACTTTGGCAGCAGGACATTTTGTCATTGCTCAGTTTGGTTCCTGCTAGTGCAGTTAGTGGAAATAAATTAAAAGAATAAAGAGAGCATCTAGCCTAAGGAAGCACATACAGACATACCTGTAGGGAGGGAGAACTCAGTTGATCTACATGCACACACACAGGGCAGAGTCAGGAAAAGAGAGAGAGAGAAAATGAAAATATGGAAATATGTTTAAGACATTTTCTGAAGATTTGTAATTATATATATATAAAATTATATATATAGTGCATATAAACTTTATATATATATATATATATATAAAACAAAGGATTACTGCTGAGCAACACTATTTGTATTCCTGGGATAAAGCTCTACAGTCTTGAGTGTTGTTAATAACACAGTTGGTTTCTGTCCTATCTGAAGGTCACCCCATATGTTTCATTCTCCTTGTCATCATTCCATGAGCTCTCATATCCCTGAATAACTCTGAGACACTGCCTGCTATCCCGACAGAGAGCCTTCTCCCTCAGAGTGATGGATTTTCCACACACCTCAGAAAAAGCAGACCCCTCCACTATCAGGAGCACCTCAGAGAATCAATTTTCTGTCCTCACTCCAACAAACCTTCCACAGAAGTTACCTGGAGTCCAAATTTAGAAACTGAAGATCTTAATATCTCATACACATGGAAAAAGAAAAAAAGACTCAGTCCCTTCTAACACTCTGCATTATTTTAAGTACTTGATTTATGGGGCACAGTTAAACTGCATCTGCTGGAAAAAAACCTCAGAGAATGATGGGATCATAATGATGATGAAGATTCTAGACCATAGTGGTAATTGTTACAATAGAAACCATCACAAAGACCAGAAATTTTGTACTATGAATTGGTCAGTTGTACCCTGCAAAAGGAGAAATACAAGACAGAATTGTCAGGGTGAAATTAACAATAGCTGTTTTAATTTGAAGGCAAATTTATTTTTCTGCCACTTCAATCTCTCTTCCCTATTTTCCAGGCCATGATGGGTGTGAGCTGGTGACCACGCAAATGCTGGTGAATGAGATTGGTCTGTTTTGTATTTTCACTGTTAAGCTGTCAAAGCACTCACATCAAAGGACTGAAGAACAAATTGCAATAGTCACAAGTACCCGCATTAAAGGGATGTTTTCATCCATGTGTATACAACTGCCCCCCAGCAACCCCAAAAGAAAACTCAAACAAAACCCCAGCCCATCTCAAGAAACAGAAGACCACGAAAGAAGAAGAACAAACAGGTGAGAAGAGCTGGGCAACGGGATGAAATGACAGCCAGTAGTGCAACGGGGGTGTGGAGAACCACTTCAGTCTCTAATCCTCAAACACTTCCAGGAACAACGGAGGGAACAGTTCTGTGGGGCACTCCACCTTCATGTGCAGGAAGCGGCTGGCATGGCAGGCTCCGATCATTCGCAGGTCTGTCACTTTCATCAGCAGTTTTGGCCAAAAGTGTGCAACATGGTGTTTTCTGTAATTAATGTAGTGTTCGAATGCCAGGAGGAAACCCTCTTGACACTTTTCTATTCTCTCGACGCAAACAAGGCCTGGGCGATCTGTAGATACAAAGCAGCAAAGATACTCTTACTTATTTGCTTTAACAAATGCCTGATCATAAATCAGAAAAAAATAGGATGATTCTGATGTTAGGCAAGAAAAGAGAGAGACCAGGGACATTTGTGGCTCTACCACGAACTTCTTTCACTCCAGCCAACTCATTTGATAGTATTATGCCTGTTAAAAGGAGAAGATAATCCTTCCTTTCTTCATCCAATGTCTGCTTTGCTCACTTACACACTTACACAGAGTGTAGCTGTTTGGGAAGTGCTTCCTTACAGTGACTAGAACATCAGATCCCTGATTTCAGCTAAGGTTTCTATTTACATTTTACTGTAAAACAACTAATAAAGAAAAAAAAATCCTTGTCAGGTACCTAAATTACAGTTCCTTTCTATCTGTTTTTCTGCAATTTGACTAATGGTTTGATCATGCTTCGATCATGCTTTGATCCCAGGTGAGCATCAAGGAACAACAAAGACTAAAAGTCTGGCTGTCTCAACTGGCACCCAGACGAGGACTGGGAAAGCCCCTTTCACATCACTTCTCAGGAGACACCTCTGGGAAAGCAGGTAATTTTTGAAATGCCTTTTGGAAACCCTGCTCCAGTATCAGCGTGTAGGGATCTAAAAAGAAATAAAAATGTTTTGATGGGGAAAATGAAGTGCTGTGTTGTGATTAATGTGGAAACCTTTTAATCTCAGATGCAGTTAATGCTTGTAAATCACTGATTGTGTATTGTTATTCAGTGCCCAATCTTCAAAGCCATCTTAAAATAAAATCTTGCCAAATCTGCCACTGCCCAAGAATGGAATTTCCTCTTTGGGCTGGCACAATCACTGGAAGCATATACAAAAACATACTCAAATTGAGAAGGTTAGAAACTCTTTGGAGGAAGTTTTCTGTGCTGCTTTTGTATCATGACCAGTTGCAAATGGTCCCAGCATAGGGAAGCAGCACAGCTTGTAAATGCCCATTAGGAAGCAGGGGTGCTGTTAATTAGAAAAACAAGAGGGCAAGTCAAACTAAACATATGAGACTGGTGGAAATGTGTATGAATGCCCAAAACATGACATTACTTGGGGGAGGAGTTGCTAAATTATCACTTTTTCATTTAAGTCAAACTGGCTCAAAATCAGAACTGATTTCTTCTTGATGATCACCTGTGGCTCATTCCTAAGTACCAAACTGAGCAAAGTGTGTTACCAAAACCAGTTCCAACTCTCTGAACACCCTGAATTTTTTTCCTAGTGCTCACTAAAATAAGTCACTGGGGTTTTGAGAGAAAATTCCTCTCACATTACTCTAGTCAGCACTACAAGATCTAATCTATCTTATTTCTTTTACAAAGAGGCTTGTGACAAAGACCAAAGAGTTTCAAAATTGTTTGGATCCCAATATATTTTTGTTCTCACCTGATGACATGAGCAGAACAGCCTGAAGAAGGGCAACCTCGGTGTCATCCAGGTTAAATGAAGAAAGAGACATGCCCAGGTCAAAAATGGCATCAGACACTACGCCAAGACCCCCATTTTTCAGCTGGCCCCTTGTCACCGCCATCTCCCCATTTAGTGTTAAAGTCTCACTCTCGGGGTCATAGCGAACTGCTGCTCGGAGGGACATGATCTCCATACAGCAGCCTTTCAGAAGGATGATCTGGTCTTCACATGGCAGCTGCAGAAATTATAAATGGCAAAGAAAAATTCATGTTTGTCAGACTGAGTGGCTTTTACAGCTACAACAGATCCACAAGCACGAAGTTGTAGTTCATAGCCCAGGACACTGCCCTGCATAGTGCAGTTCTCCTCCAAACATGCTCCCTGCACAATCCCCTAGGACCTGTGTTCCTGCCTTCAGGAACTACCAGCAGGTTAACATTCCCTGGTTAGCATCCCCACACACCCTTAGGAAATCTAGCAATAACACAGCTGTTGGCTCCCTCAGCTTACAACTTATCACAGCAGAATAAACTATAATTGGGGCTGGTGCAGACCTCAGCCATCCCAGTGAAATTCACTACTAGCCATACTTATTTCTTACCTGACCAGAGGAAAGGAAAGACATTTGGGAGGGTGTGTAAGAGTGGACTGTGTTTTAAACAAATATTTATATCTAGAGGATATACCTCAATCAGTGGAGCAGGAATTCTCACTGCCCATTTTATCAACAGAGATCTAGAATTAATCTAGTAAGGCTGTTCGCCCTGAGCTCCCTACTCTATTGATAGACAGAAAATCTATGGTATGGCTACAGCTTTTATGCTGGTGCATAAACTGCGCTCTTCAGGGCATGTCTTTTCCATGCCATTTACAAAGGCAAGCTGTCCAAAGGTTCTGTATTTACAGAGTATAACCAGGATGCTGACACATGAGCATAACTTGTTCTATAAAGCATGTCTTTATGTTTTCATAGGTTATTCAATGATAACAAAACCCACCAAGACAGTTTTGAGACTGTAAGCGAACAACAAGGGTCTCACAAATGAAAGAGCAACACACTTCTACTTGGCTTGAAAGGAGGCAAAAAGCCATTTATTTTTGATTTATATAAAATTATTATATTTACCTGTTTTGCAATTCAAAAATGAAACCCTCCTGAACTATAGGTTTACATGGCAACGGTGCACGTGCAAAGCAAGTGCACTGATTTGGTGGAAAATGATGCAGAGCTACCTAATGCAAGTGGAAAGCAGTTCCCTGCTAGAGAAGAGTTTTAAGCACAGAGCTAGCCATGGTCAGGAAAATGAGTTGAGTCATGCAGCTACTTTTCCAGCAATGCCAGATTCAGGTGTGAAGTGTTTAATACACAAGAAAATTGACTCATCCTGTTCAGAGCAAATCAGTTTCCCTACAGATGACCCTCAGCTCAGCAGCAGTGTGGGGAAGACTGCAGAGGCACAGCAGCAGTCTCGCTACCCAATGACAATTCCACTGTTTGGAAGCAGAGACTGAAGTAGGGAAAGAAATAGAGTTTAAAAAAATTAAAATGAGAATAGATATGTGAGAGGAACCATGAAGAGATACTGGAAAAAGCAATGGAAGTGAAAAAAAGAACATGAAAGAAAGACAGAGAGAAGGGAGAAGAAAAGAGAAATTAAAAAAAACCCCAAGCCTCTAAACAGAAGAAAGAATAGTAGAAAAGAAACAGGTAACAGTAGAGAAGACATTTTGTGTTGCTTCAGCTGTTGATTAGTGAGCCATGAAACTAATGAGAATTCTTTCTACTTGATCCTTCTTAAAAAACTTCTTTATGGTAGCGGCAGTCTGACTATGCCTGTTTTTCAACTGCTTTTCCAATTCTGAAGGATACATGGGACACCTGTTTCACAGATGCCAGGCCTCAGGTTTTATCTGCCAGTAGCAGGAGTTACTAGAGACAGGAGGCTTGCACATCAGTTCTACTCCCAGCTGTGCAGATTTTAATGCTACCTACATTCATCCACTTGAGTGCTGCTACCAGAGCATCCTCCAGTAGCAGGATCAACAAATGTGAACGAAACGCTGCCATGTGTTATCCTTTCCTTCCTCTCTGTGGGGAGAAAAGGCACAAGGCAGGAACCTGAAGTGCTCACCTCTGCAGGACATGTGTAAAGCAGCACCATGAGCTGAGCTGAGTGACCTCAAAGAGTATTTACACAGCTTCACCCACAGTGAAACCACTGATGCCTGGACATTTAAAACTCACATTAAACTTGTTATAGTCTCTTCAATCTTCATCTTCTACGCAGAAAGAAAACCAGGAAGGAAAAACAGGAGAAATGCTGAGAAGCAAATCAAGTTTTCCTTATACTTTGATTAGTCTGAGATTGGATACTTAGTTTGAGGCAGGGGCCAATGGGTGCACACAAACTAAGCTGGGCATTCACAGTGCTTTGCTGTCTTCTACATGTGTCCAAAGATGTGAAAAAGAAGGAAAAGTAGCCAAGAAAATATAAGTTGCCATGGATGTTCCCTGTCACGTCCCTCTTTCATAGAGATTTACTGCATTCTCAGACAGCTTCTGGAATTATGAACTGAGTTAATGTTTAAATGCTGTGCAGGCCCTATGGAAAAAAGAAGTGTTTTTTTCTTGTAAAAAATCTACAACCCACACAGTGTTGCTTCTAAGAAAAAGACATGGGTCAAAAATCATACGGAAACAAAGTTAACAGGAGGGTGCCCCTTCAAAAAGGAGCAAACATTTGTCATTTTCTTCATGCTACAGGAAGTGTTATATGACAACTCAGAGGACAGCTGTCCTACTCCTTAGTGTTCATGAGGAGTTGTCCCTCACCCTGCCATCACATCTTGCTGTATATGGGCATGTGTCAGGTTTACACAGAGGCTCAGCTGTAAACAAAGCCTGTCCAGCTGAGCCCCATAACATACAGAGGTCATGCTCAACGATGCCTTGACTTCTTCATCCATGCTTCCTGCCTAGTTCTGACACAAGTGGGACCATGGTGGCCAGGAGGGGTAGGAGATGTCAGATGGGCACTGAAGTCTGTGTGTGACTGGAGAGCTTTCTAAATTAAAAAGACTACCTTGGTATGTCACTGCAATTTCTGACCAACAAATGCCAGATCAGAGGAGACAGATTCCCTCAGACACTAAATGCTCATGATTTATGGACATATTCCTAGTATTTTACAATCTTCGTGCTTAGCTACTATTTCATGCTTCCTTGACTGATGGCGCCAATGCAGAGGCTGGCCAGGGTGAGATATTTACACTATGACTACTACTGATATTGACCTCTTCTTGTTCTGTACTTGCCAGGGAACATACATAGCTCTCCCTGACTGACTTTGAAAAAAAAGCTGCCAGCCACAATAGAGTAAAATTTGATGGCTGCCCTACCCTTCCTTTCTGGTAGGGTGTTGACCTCAAAGGGTGAAACGGAAGGTGTTCCTGCTGATGGCAGGGGGGTTGGAACCAGATGATTTTTAGGGTCCCTTCCAACCCAAACTTTTCTATGATTCTATGAAAATTATTTAGATCATTAAGACTAAAATATTATTTTAGGCTGCAGTTTTGATACCATTTATTAAATCGGAGGAAAAAAATATAATCAGCCATTGCATATGGTCCTTCAATAAAAATGATACCTTGGTACAAATGAGATCAGTGTAAGACCACTGTATTCCCAATGTGCAGCCAAGCCTTTGAGTCTATTTACTGCATATTTACATGTGAGTATTTACTTGGAATGACAATCCATTGCTTTCACAGACTCTTTTATGCACAACCTCCCCATTCAGGAAAACCAAGTCTAGGGAACCCAACGAGGCAAGTGTCACTCCCAGACAGGGGTGCTTTCATGAATTTCAAGAATTTTTTACTGTGTAGACCCAACTCTACAATACTGTACCTCCAAGAAGCCAGAAGATACATAGGGAACCATGTGCTGCAAGATTTTATTAAACATATCAGTAATGCTTCTAGACAGTATCTTTTTGTTCATTTGCTTTGTTCAAGGCCACCTCTAAAGACATATCTAAGTCCCTAATAAACCACAACGACTTCCAGATTAACACACAGGGTTTCAGTAATCACAGGAAAAAGAAAGTTCATTAAAACACAGATTATTCTAGTCCCATTGATTTTGAGTGTCTTTAATTTTTTTAGTTTTAGACACATTGAATTTTTAAGTTCCATGCCAGAGTATTTTGAGTAGTTTTTAACAACAGGCATACAAATGAGGAGTGCAAGAAAGTCTTCTTACCTCACAAAACATAGGCAACTTTTTGGCAAAATCCACCACTCTTGTAATCGCTGGTGTGATAATTTTTGTAAACTGGCTGAAGGCTTCTAAATCCACTTTCCCACCTTCTGGGGCATTAACTATTGGTGCCTGCCCAATATCTTCTGGCTAAGGATATAAACAAAGATATTTAAAGGAGCAGTCTGTCTTAGAGCAACTATTTTATACTCCAAAAAGTTCTAGTTGGTATAAAAGAGATGCTAAAATAAAAAGCAACACTATTTGCTTTATAAGTAAAGTCCATTTACGTCACAAAATGTGAATTAATTTGTAAGGCACTTGTGAAAGAGGTGACTGCACAGAGAAATGGGTGACTGGTTCTAACCATTCTTTGTGGAGAGCTGGACTGTTGTGTGCACAGTTTCTTCCTTGCGTCTGTATCCATGTATTTTATGGGTGCAGCACATGCATCTTTTGCTTAAAAACATAGGCATGTTTTTCCTTACAGGAGCTGAAACCTCTCAAGTTTCTCTAAAAGCAAAGAGAGTTGAGGAGATGTACTACCCCTGAAAAGATGCTGCTGCTTTGCAGAATTAGTCTCTTTACCCACTCAAAGCTCAGAAAGTCTCCCCAGAAGAGATTGCCAGGTATCACAGGGCCCCCTCAGGCAATTGCCAAGGCCAGTTTCCAAAAGGCTAGAACAACTCATGTGCAAAGCTAAAACAACTTATGAACAAGAAAGAACAGGCTAACCTAAAGGTGCCCTGGATAATGTAAATGGAATTTGAACTCATCTGTGTAAACTTTTGGTTGAAAATTGCCTGTTGCACGATTTCAGCTCAAGGCTTCTCCAAATGAAAAACAAATCATATTTTGAGGATTTCAATAGGAAAATACAATGAAATAGTTTCAAGCAGAATCTGTAATGAGTGTTTTTTTATTCCAAATGCACTTGAACTTGTTCACCTGGTTTTTATGCAGCTGGCCAATGTTACCATATATTTTAAAAACAAGCACATCAAAGCTGTTTGGTTTATTTTTTAAGTGTGGCTTTGCAATTACAAACACCTACCAAAGACCATGCAGAGGTTTCATTCTGCTCACACTAAGGTCAAAAAGTAGATAAAATCCAGAGAAACAGACCTTTAAGACTGATGGGCCCTATGACATTTATAGAAGACACTTAAACAGGGGAGGTGCTGAAAGTGCTGTCTGTAATAAAAACTTGTGTTCAACCACTTTTTAAAAGAAACACATCATAAAAGGTCCTTCTGTAACCAATCTGAATCCAAATCTTACTTCTTACAAGAAAAAACTCAGCAATGTGTTAATAAAGCAAGCACCAATTGGAAAGGAACAATGAAGAAGACTGGGCTCAATTATCTGATGGTTTCTACTAAAAAACTCAAACAAACTCATTTCTAGGCTCTCTCCCTTCCTGAATCTTGGGTAACTAAACCACATTGTTTGTGTGCTCATGATAAACAACCTTCATCGCTTCCAAGCAAAAAAGACCAAATGCTTAAACCCACATTAACCATTGTTATGGAGAAAAAGGAAGAGCACAGCATTTTCTTGGGAAAGGCAAAGCAAGTCAGGAGAGCCAGCTAAAGATAACACACTGGAGGGGAGCTCCTTCCACCTGACTCAAGAGGAGAGGAGGTGCGGATCCCAATGAAGTCCCTGTTGTCAAAGAACCTGCGTCAGCCACGTGAGGACAGATCCATAACTCCTGGGGCAGACTGTCAGCTTCTCCTGCTCTTCAACAGCTCATTCCCAGCCCCAGCCTCGAGCTCCCTAGGTTTTATCCCAAACCAGCTGATACCTGAAGAACAGCACTTCTGTCTAAGAAACCAAAAATACTACTGCAGCTGCTTCTTGGTCTGCTCACACCTTGCTCTGCAACGCCCCTGGAAAGTGCTTTCTTGGTTCTTGCCAGTGATGACTGCCTGTGGTTTCTTGACTGTAGAGTACTATGAACACGAGCCATTCATATAGAAATTTAGATAGTGTCACTAGCATTAAAAAAACCCCAACATTATAAAAGAGATCAGCTGCTCTGAGTACATAATTTCTCTTAGCAATTCAACAGTGAGTTGAAATTCCCATGGTGAATTACGCAGTAGGAGCCTAGGCTTGCAAAAAGATGAGTGTGTTCTATCTGATTTAGTATACCCTGACTGTTCAAGACTTCTGTGTATTTCTGAAATGCAGTCTCTAATCCCTCTTTTGTGTGGTACAAGCATTTTGCATTCTGCACTTATTTCCCTTAAAAATCGATTTAGAAAAATAAAATAAATCCGTTTTTAAGGTTGAGCGCTGAAAATCACCATTCATTTTCTGACCCTTAGTTATAGGATGAAAATCTAAGCTGTTTTGTAGGCTGCAATCCCAATGGTATGGTGTATGTATCATCCTGCTCTCACTGAAATTAATTTTCCTTGCCTTATTTTCATTACTGTATCCACCACTAACCAAAAGAGGTAAAACCCCTGAGTTATTAACCAAAAGTAGCAGCTTTTATCTAGAAATTTATATTGCTTTAACACTTTCAATAATAAAGACAACTATCCCTAAATAGAATATATTAAAAAATACAGTATGCATTATAGACTGCTTCTGTTCTTAATCAGGAGAGAAACAGTTTTTCTACTTTTTCTTATCATAGCACAATAAAAGTATCCAGCTGAGTAAGCCTTAACATAGCAACAGGCTGTTTATATTTTGAAAGACTGGTCGGATCTAACCCTGAAGTTCAGGCACGAAAAATGAAGTAATAACTACGCAAAATCATCCTTTTTTCACAAACATCAGTACAGTGGTGATACAATCTCTTTGGGGTTGCAATGCTGGGAAGGCACTGCAGAAGAAAGAACAGAACCTGGCTCTAAGAGCAGTGTACAAGGCTACAGCCCTTACCAGAAATTTCCTTTTCTGCTTCCAGTGGCTTCCTTGTGCATTGGTGGCCACATGTGCTTCAGTAACAATTTTGATGAGCTCCCATTCCTCATCTGTTGGCTCTGGTTTGTGCCCAATGGTTTTCTGCAGCTCTTCCCGACGTCTCTTCTCTCGATTTTCTTCTATCAGCTTCCTCTTTGCCAACCTCTTGCTGTCATCCAACACCACTAGCAGGGAAAAAACATACAAAAATGGCAGGAAGCTCATAAGACTGTCAAAACTCTGGTCTTTTGTGTGCCTGAGGTACCAGCTGCTTACAAACACTTTAACTAATCAGTAAGGAAGTACCTTGGCAAGACCCACAGTTGAGACAGTTCTCTTACTTCTCTCTTCAAACTTTGTTTTCTCAGAAGCTTGGATAGCAAAGAGGGACTTACTGTCCTGGTAATGCTCTGTATAATGCCATTGCCCTCAAGGGGCTGTTCCACCAATAAAACTAATATGCAAAAGCTTTGTGAGGTGTCCAAGTGCTCCTATAATGGACTTGGAGTAATCCATATTGGGAAAGATGCACTTCTGTTTTCTTTGAAGTCATATCAGCATGCCCACACTCACTGCTGTGAAGTGCAGAACATGTACTTGGATGCCAAGAGAAGGTAACATGGATCGAAGAAAGTGGGAGCACTTATTCACAGAAGGCTCTTCTGCCTGAAGCATGACACAATCAGGTCAAGATGCCTTTGGCTCTTTCCCTAATCCCCACAAGTGGTGTTCCTGTACAGCCCCATTATTTTCAGTGACTCCAGGTACACAGGCCCCAGGGCTGCTCTGCTTACACTGGTATCCAGCCCCTCTCTTGAAGGTATACCTGGCCACAATGAAATTGTCTCCTTTATTCTATTTCCCTCTAGACAGAGGGCACTGATATACATTACATTAACAATGAAAATACTAAGTTAGACTATTCTTCTGTTTACTGGGCCTGTTTTCCTGTCAGTTCTTCTGCAAAGGATTATACTGGCAACAACCATGAAGGCACAAGGGGATTTATATGACTTCTGGGGGCTTTACGTGACTTCCTCCCATTTGTAGTAATTGAAGTTATTGGTGTAAATCCTTGTGCAACGGCAGGAAAAGAAGACCCCTAAGGATTAATCTTACAGCCATATTTTCTAGTTCTTTAGAAGAGACTCAAAATCTTTGCAGCAGATAACTTCTTCAGGGCTAAAAATAAAACAAACAACTGCAGGATGACTCATACAATGACATTCAATTTCACATCCTCCAGAATTTTCTAAACAAGATGTTTTTATCTCAAGCAAAGTGTCCGTCCAGATGCATTTCTCCCTTCTCTCCTCCAAAGAGTGAACATTCCTATTGTTACTCAGCTTGGTAAGGCCAGGAGAAGGTGCAGCCTGATGAAGGATAAACAAAAAATTACAGCCCTGTGAAAGTGGCTTAATGCAACGAGTAGGATTCCTTGGTATTATTAAAACCAGAAAAGGGCTGGCAGTTCTACTTTACTTTAACAAGCTTCATCAATCAACATACTTTAAGTAAACACAGACACTGAAAAAAATAAAATAAAGAAAAACCAGGAAAATATACTTACAATCTGTTGCCATGCCAACAAAGATACATTTTTTGAAGCGACATTCCTGGCACTGATTTCTTGTTACTTTGTCTATCACACATTTTCCTTCATATTTACAGGAATAGGTTGGATGGAGGTTCTTCTGAATGGTTCTTCTAAAAAAACCCTAGGTGCAAGAAATAAATACATTGGAAAGCATTAGCACTGAGCATTTTTTAAAAATTGAGAGCTGCTTGATTTGTTAGGCATGTACCTAAGTATGCAGGATAACACACTTCATTTCCAGAAGTTCTCAAAGCTCTCAAACCAGTTTTATAGTGTATGGCATTTCTCTTGATTTTCCCAAACAAAAACATATAGACATCTTAGATAAGTAAAGGTGCAAGTACTGCTGTCTTGAGACACAAATACTGTGTACGTCTTCTTGTAGTCTTATTTTTTATTGTTACTTTTTTTTTTTGTATATGAAGTATTTTTGAGCCTCTTTTCAAATTCTGTAATGATTTTGAAGGATATTGAAAGTCATACACATAGTTTTAATTAAAAAGCAGCTTCTGCAAATAGTAAGCATGGTGGTGTGTTTGTGCTATTAAAGGATTGAGGACAAACAGTTCCACTGCTTTATTTCCATAAAAGCCAAATAACCAACCAAATCTGGGCAAGAAAAAGACTTTGCAAATACAGTCGACACAATCTTTGAGTTTGGTTCGAAACTGAAAGGATCCCTAATTTATAAATTATTTGTGTTTCTGAGAAGCAGATTTAATTTGTATTTACCACAGAATTTCAAAAGCCCCATCACCACCAAAGACTCATCTGTCCATCTATCTATCTATCTATCTATCTATCTATCTATCTATCTATCTATCTATCTATCTATGTTATCATAACACAAATCTATCCTGCAAATTTAAACAGATCCTAAGACCATATGAACTAATAAAATCCCACTGAATTCACTCATTCAAGTGCCCCATAAAACCCTGCTGTAGGTAATGAAATCAGATAAAAGTTATCTCTGAACATTATGGATAAAATCCTGGCAATTAATTTCAACATGACTTTTCTCACTGACTTTTGCAAGGGCTGGATAAACTCCCCAAGACCGTAAGATATGAACAAGATAGGCTGTAAAGCAGAAAATTTAGACTTCACTTTAATTTCAAGTTTCACCATTATTTGAGACTGTGTAAATTCAGCAATGCAGCTTGGGATTACCTTGACACAAAGAACACACTGACACTCCAGTCCTGTTTGACTGAGGCTGCTCAGAATGGCTTTGGTTTTAGTCAAAACAATGGCAAAATTCAAGTGAGATTTTACCTTGTGAATAGTCTCTTCAGCTGGGATTTTGTCTAATGAATAGTCTCTTCACTTCAGTAGGCGAAAGGTCTGTTTTTAAATCATGTTAAATAATACCCAGTAAAATCTTACAGCAGTGCGCAATTTCTTTTAACACAGAATGTTGAATTAACATGTACAGATAAGTCTGTATTTCAGCTTGTACTCCTAACTCCAGTGAAAATAATGAACAGCCTTGTCCTCATTAGAGTTTTATCTTACAAGGTTCAGTTTGAGCAAAGTACAACTCTTTCTTCCTTAATTATGGTAAGACCTGAAATGTTAATTAAACTGAGTGGCATAAAGCTTGTGTGGGAGCCTTTGCAAGACTGGGACCAGTTGTGTTAAGATAAAATCCAGGAAATTACAGGCAAGATATCCTTATGTGGGGTTTGGAATAAGTCTCAAACTCTCATCTACTGAACACCCAGTTTTGGTTCTGTTCTCAACCCTGTGATGAACTCCTAGAGGCAGGATCTGCTCCACCCCTTTCTGAACACCTAAGATGGCTGCGGGCAACCAGGGTCACAGGGTTATCAATAGTTATGAAGCAAGAGATAGAAAATTCTCTAATGAATCTCAGCAGTGAGCTTCTGCTTTCTAAACCTTGCATGGGATTTCATGTAGCTGTAGCTTTATGATGGCAAGTGTCTCTATCACCTCTGCTGGGACAGCCCATTTCACCTTCTCACTTCTTTGCATTCCTCCGAAAAATTTTGCAAAAATCCTTCTTTGTTCATCTCTAGATCCACGTTAAGGAAGTTGCTCTCTGTATCTTTCTAAACACTTCACCACAGAAACGTTATTCTCATCAGTAAAAGAAAGCACATTGTATAGTAGGCAGTAACTCTTTCTAAACTCCTTTACTACACACATATATAGCAGTAGATGCAATGGGTAAAGTCAGGAAAAACATTTCAGTGATGTCAGAACTCACTGCTCATTTATTTGTGTTTAAATTCCTCACAATTTACTCTTCAGAAATCATGTGTGAGGATGCTTTGCTCATGAAAGCACTTGCCAAAGCAAATCTTTGGTTGTCAGCCTTGATTATGCTTGTTACAAAACTAAAGTGACTTTGAGTGGAAGCAACTAGTAAACATCAAATTAATTGAAAATTTATTATATATATTGTGTATTGATAAAACATATAACTTTGTTGATATATCATACAGCTTGAAATGTATATGCAGCTCCTCCAAGAAAATAATTACTTTTGAAATTGTTATTTCAGGTCCTTATGCGCATAAGCATTATTTAAAATTATACATCAGAGAGAAGAACTGTATGTGAAGATAAAAGCAAATTTGTATGCTATGTCTATAAAATAGCTGGTAGGCATAAAAAGAACTACTTGACTTGAAGTAATGAAAACCTTAGCAGGAAAGCTCGCAATAGATACAGCTGTTCAGCTGGGAGCTAAGTATTACTTCATACTGCCCCAGTACTGCTTATTTCCCATTATATCTAAATTAAGTCACATCCATACATGTATTGTTATCATCTGTATATTGTATTCAGGATGCAAATGTGTAAGAACCACTTGTGCAGCTCCACAATTCTTTTTAAAGATATAAGTACTTTTTTATACTTTGTATGTAAGTGTATGTATAAAACCATTATGAATATTGCCATGAATCTGCTATACATAGGATATCTAGGTCTCTGTGTATTTCACACATGTAACTTAGCGAAATTATGTACAACCAAAAGAACTACTTCAACAAGAGTAATAAGAGTTACTGTGATGAGGAGCTCTAAAGCCAATCCAAACTCAAAATATCACATCCAAATGTTCCAGACTTTGTGGGTGAAAAAATGAGACTTTCATGGCTTAGTCTCATGACACTAGCCCAAGACATGTGTGGTCCCATTTGTTTAGAGAAACATTTTTTGTTTCTTACTTTCTGCAGGAAAGAATAGCTTTCTTACAGAATCTCAAGCTATTTAGACAAATTCATGGCAGTGAAATCATGTAAGATGTGTCTGATTGTGTTACTCTATTTTTTTATTTACTTGCCCAAAGCAATCTCTTTTTAAACTTAATTTTGCATGTAGTCATGTAGATGCATTTTAGGTCTGAAAGCACATTTCAATATGCTTAAGTTAAAGAAGTCAAAATCTTTTTGAAACTATTTAAATTGGGTGTCAATGCTTCCCAAATTGATGGATGTTGCTGTAACATGAGCATGTGGAAAGGATTTTGATTTCTGCTTCTTCACAGGGATGGTGAGAGGCACTGGTACACTGCTAATCGCTACATTACAGACTTCCATAAGCAGAACCTTAGCTATTGCATAAACAGCTTCAGTGGAGTAGCTGGGAACATGCTGATGTACCCTGGCTGAGAACATGGATAAAGAAACATTAAAAAATGGAAATTCAAAAGCTAACTGTTAAACAGCAGCAACAACAATCTAAATTTCTTGTTTTCTTTTCAGAAGCAAACACGGCAAAAACTAACTATAGTCCTTATGCATATGAAGAACAGCAGCATGGTCAGATAGAGCTTATCACCAGTACTGGATGTTCTTACTAGCTTCTAATCTGTCTTTATTTGATTTGACAGCACAGTTCAGGAAGTCTGTATAATGGAGTAGCTGGAGAGCTGTTTATGATTCCCACTTTCCCACCGTGCCATTTACCTTGCAACCTTCGCAAGTGATGCAGCGATAATGATATCCGGTGGCTTTGTCCCCGCATACTACACATAGCTCATCCTTGTCTAAGTAACTGGGTATGTACCCTGCAAAGAAAAAGAGGATGTGGCATGTAAACTCCATACAAATTTTAGGATACATTGGATATAAAAAGACTGCATTAAAATCCACTGCATATCCTGTCTACCAGCGCCATACTTCTGAACTCACTGAATTTCCTGAATAAAAGTTTGTACTATGTTACAGACTTAATTAATCACAGTCTATAAGATTTTCTATTTTTCAGACTCATTCAATGTCTACTGGTCAAGAGGGAAAAGCTGGAACATGATTTCTCTCTCCCGAGTGAAATACTACATCAGCAAATACGTATTACTTCAAAATATTTGATGTGAAATAATAAAATAGCAGTAAAGGCATACATTATGTTTCTGTTCTGTATATCAGAAAAAACCTCAATATACTTGTACACTGCAGATGAGACTCCAGGTTTCAGTGTGACTGGGGGACTTGGTAGTACGAAACATTTACTGACAGATGGTTTGTTTCAAAGCGGAAAGTTACAAGCAACATATAGCCCAAGTTTTATTGATCATGCCTGACCTTGACATATTCCACAGGAATAGTTAATGTAGCCTGAATTTAAAGCAAAATACATGGACATTCAATAATGTGTATGCGTGTGTGTGTGTGTGTGCGTGTGTGTGTACATGTAGTGTTAGAATGAAATTTTCTCTTCAGAAGTGGTTTACCAGATCCAGCTAGTGAAAATATTCCTGCTGTGAAAAAAATTGGCAATGCTTGGTTCTTTTCCCACAATGACATTTGTTTTGAAAACACAAACATATTTTCAATTCGAGCAAAAAACCAAAACAATACTGAGGGCAAGCAAAAAGTAATTGTAACCACAGACAACTTTTACACAGGGTAAAATACAAATGTTTCAAAATCAATGTTTCCATGACTCATAACTAATGGAGTTACAGTTCATAACTTTGCCTTCTGAAAAATCACACTGTGAAGATATAACATAGAGATCTCAGATTCCCTTTGAGGGGAGAGATGAAAGTGCACCTATATGTATAACTGTGTAAGATTAGTGTAGTGTAATAAACATTTCACAGAATCCCACAATGGCTGAGGTTGGAAGTAATTTCTGGAAGTCAACTGCTGCAACACCCCTGCTCAACACAGGGCCACCTAGACCCAGCTGTCCAGGCCCAGGCCCAGACAGCTTTTGACTATCTCTAGGGATGGAGACTCTCTGTGCAAATGTTCTGCTCTGTCACCTCCACAGAGAAAAGAAAATACTCTTTTATTATTATTTTATTCCTTCTCAGAAGGAATTTCCTGTACTTCTATTTGTGCTCACTGCCTCTAGTACTGTCACTGGGAACTGAGAGGAGTCTGGCCCTGTCTTCTGCAGTGTGGGGGATGAGGTATTCACACAAACTGATATGCCCCCTTGAGCCTTCTCTGCTTCAAAGCTGAAGAGTCCCAGTTTTCTCAGTTACTCCTCACAGAAGAGATGCTCCAGTTCATCATCTCTCTGGCCCTTTGCCAGGTTTACTCCAGGATGTCTGTGTCTTTCTTCTGTTGGGGAGCCCAGAACTGGACCAAACACTGCAGATGTTTCACTAGAGCTGAACAGAAAGAAAGGATCATATCGCTCAAGCTGCTGGTGACGACTTTCCTAAAGCAGACCAGATGCCATTTACCTCCCTTGCTTCAAAAACACATTGCTGGTCTATATGCAACTTACTGCCCACCAGGAATCCCCAAATACTCCAGTGCAAAGCAGTTTCCTCCCACTTGGGCCTGCACTGCTGTGTTTATTACTCCTCCCCTCATGCAGAATTTGGCCTTTCCCTTTGATGAACTTCAAGAGGTTCCTCTCATCCCATTTTCCTAGCCTGCCTAGGTGGCTCTGAATGGGTAGCACACCCATCTGGTGTTCCAGTCACTCCTCCCAGTTTTGCATCAACTGCCAGCTGTCTGAGTGGAATTTTTGAGTGCAATGAAGAAGAGCCTTTTGGAAGAGCTGCCTGTAACACTATCCCTTACCACTGGCTTGCTGAATCCATCTGTATCACCACACATAAGGTTAGACATGGAGGATGATGTCTTTATGCAGCCCTCACAGCAGTATGGGTTGGAACAGCTTGGGGACTCTCACTTGGAGGGCAACCAGCAAGACTCAGGGCAATAGAAGGCTGTTGCAGGATGCTTCAAGAAGAGTGGCCATCATCTTCCTGCAACTAACATGCTAGAGGGTCAGCTCAGTAACAGTTTAAATTCAAATGCTTTCCTAAGGCTATACTTCCAGAGGCTCTCCAGAAAGAAAAGTCCAAATTAGACAAAACACTTAAAGTTAACTGAGCTTAAACTTTATGGAGTCTGGTGAGTAAATCAGGAGAAAGTAAAAAAGGCAAGTAGTATTTGTATGGCCTAATTTGAGTATAATTATGACAACCTCAAATTATAGAGGAACACATATCCCTCTTCTCTAAAACAAGGAAGCAGTAGTAATTGGGAAGTTATTCCTGGATACAGGCATCTCAGGTCTGCCAATATTCTGAAAGGGGAGTGGGGAAATGAGCTACGACCTTAATGTTGTATCAAACCAGTCTACAAGACAGCAAAAGAGCAGATTTATATTCAGGCTACATTTCTCCATGATGAACAAGTTATGCTTGGATAGACTGGTGGCCATGTGACATTGCGAGATGAGAGACAGCAGGGTTTCAACTCTAATTACATCACTGACTCCTAATAGACACCATGTCAGTGGGGGATTAGCAGAGGCTATTATCTCCATCCTGCCCCCACTCTGCTCACACCTGCCTCTGCACATGCAACACATACACAACACAGAGCTGACAGAGTGGGCAGAAGACGCAGCAAAGGGATGCAGAATTTTCCCCTAAATTTATTGTAAAGATCCACAGCTTCTTGTTTTTGCTGGTTACTGCTATTCATGAAATAGTCTTTGTAAGCATAAACTACATCCTCAAAAATTCAGTATCCCTGGTTAGCTTCCTCAAGAATTGTTTTTGAGTTAAATGCCTTGATATTTCATTAATTATACAAGCTGGTTAGTGCTGCTTATGCAATGGCAACTTGTTCTACTGGAGGAACAGGAGACACTTGTCTAAGCTGCTTCCTTAAATATATACAGTAGGTCATGCTTATGATCACTGCTGTCCATCTCCCTCCTGGAGTTTCGTGACTTTATCCAATATAAAGTTTCCAATCTGGCAGAACACAAAATCTCCTAGGGGCACTCCTAATCAGAAATCAAAAATGGCATCCTTACATGCGACCACATTGCCAGTTTCTTGCATCAGAAGCATTAAGTGCCACCTACTTAACATAGCTAAATATTCTGTTCAGTACTTCCACAGATTGACTCCATGTCACAAGGGAAGTACACACCTGGAACTCTTCTAGTGCTTCAACATGAATAGAAAAATCTTATTCAAAGAAATCACTGGCAACACAAGTCTGCAATACACATATATCTTTTCTTTCCATTACAGTTTTCTGTATTTTTAACACTTCTTCCAACAGCTAATGGGGTCAGAAACAGTTAGACTGGGAAGACTGGACCTTCAGTAGTATTTTTAAAAGATACAATTCAGACAGAAATAACTGAAAAAGGACTAAGTGGATTTACATTCAATTCTTACAAACACTAATGTCTATTCTAAGTAATTTCTAGTGGTGGCAAACATCCTGTATGACCTCTGTATAAATTCAATACAATTTCATTTGAAAAATGTGCAGATAAACAGACTCAGTACATTTTTTTTCTCCTTCTCAGAGTTAGAAACAGCATTAGCAAGAAGAAATTCAACACTGTTTTTCTAAACATGGTACCAGCATGGAAGAAATGAATAGTGCAGTGGAGATTCTTGGAGAAGCCATGGATGGCAGCAGAGTTGTCTGTTAGATGTTTTGAGGAAGGAGAAGAGCAACAGACTTGTCTCACTATTTGCACCACTATTAGTAACTTGTCCCTCATATCAACAAGTACTTTTGCTTCATGTGTGTGTAATAACACTGAAGCAAAGATAAAAATGCCTATGTGGAAAAGAAGATGCTGTCTGGACAGAGTAACACTGGTGCTCTTTTACTAAAGAAGAATGTCTGATAAATCTCATGAAAACATCAGGTATATTCCTATTTCAGGTGATCATAATTTATCTTTTATTTCTTGGTCAAAACCTTTTAAGTAATTAGCTAAGAGAAACTGTTCAAGAGCAACACGAACCTCACTGAATTGTACAAAAACAAGCAATATTGTTCCTTGTTTCAAGTCTCTATCTGCTGTACTCAGTATCCTCAAGGACTGTTGTTTGTTGCATCCCATGTGAACCTCCAAGTTAATTATCTGTCAAGTATGAGCTGACATTGTTCAACCCAATGCCCACCTGGGATCTTTATTTTGAGTGGAGAATAGCAGTGAATGACCTTGATCTGCCATGTCTTGTGTTTCCCCTGTAGCCTAAAGTAACACCTTTGGTTCCCAGACTCCCACCTGCCCGTCTGCCTAATCTTACTGTCTTGGCAAGGCTAAGCACACAGCAGGACCACTTGCCCCTCTCTAGAAGAATATGTCATATAATCTATTATAGCCAGTCTTGAGAGCAATCTAAATCACTAGTGTAGCTTTGTAGAGGCATGGCAGCAAACAATTCCCTTCAACAGGAAAATGCACAATGGGTCTGCCCCAAGCAGCCATAAGGACAGAAGGAGATCTGCTACCCCATGCAGTCATCTGAGGTTCTCCTCCATTAATACTGTATGCATGCACTCTTGAATTACCATTTGCAGGAATGATGACTTAAAGCACCATATATGACCCTGCACAGTGTAACAGGCTGGGGAGACACTCAGTGCCTATTCCTCCATTCAACAAAGCCAAGAAAAACTATTTAAATTATAAAAAAACTCTGAAAATTATTGTGTTTCTTCTTCCTCTGTACCTGGTATATATTAAAAACATTAACAACAAAACACATCTTTTAAGAAAAGTAAAGAACCAATTTCAGTTTTGCTAAAGTATCATTGCACATACTGTATG